TTTTTTTGATTTTCACTAATTTTTTTTTATTAAATTTTTTCAATTTTTTTCTTTCCTTCATTTTCCAGGAAGTCTTGGATAGGTTTCAGCGCGTGGTTGCAGTGCCACAGTAAGTTCCAAATATTTTTTGAAAAGTTTTTCTTTTTTTTTTATTAATTTGCCAATAATTTTTTTTCTTTTCATCTCCTGAGATCGGGAACTCATAGGTCAGATGGAATGATACAATGGTAAGTGTCAATTCTCATTTCTTTTTCGTTTCAAATAAATTTTTATTATTATTATTTATTAATATCTTTTTACCTTAGATTCAGAAGTTTCAGCGTAATGCAACAGTAAGAATTAATTTCTTTTTTTCACTCTTTTTTCCTGTTTCATTCATTCTTTCTTTTTGTTTATATTTACTAATATTTTTCCTTTATTATTTTTCTAATTTAGATTCGGGAGAGGAGGGCTTGGATCAGATTGTGCGCCTACTGCTGCGGTACTATAGTAAGTGCTGGGTTTTTTTTTTTCATTGTGAATTTTTCCTTTATTTGATTATTTTAATTAATACTTTTTATTAACTTTTTTTCTTTAGTTTTCTTCTTTTAGGTTCAAGAAGAGCTAGATTGGATTCTGTATGATGTTGTGGCATTATGTAAGTGCTATATATCTCTTTTTTTCATTTTTTATTCCTTTTTTATACTCCTTTCTTTTTAAGTCTTTAGATTCAGATTGGATGAGACGTACTTATTGGATGTGATACTACTGTACACTGTAAGCACTAAATCTTTTTTCATTTTGAAACTTTTTCCCTTATTTTTTTATTCATTTTTTTAATTTTTTTTTTAATTTTTTTTTCTGTCTTTTAGGTGGGAAGTTTTAGATCAGGTTTAGCGCAATGCTGCAGTGCAAATGGACCGATAGCTCCCTCATCAGCTTTAAAAAATTTATTATCAACATTTCTTAAAAATTTACAAAGATGATTAGCAAAAATTATTTTTGCTCAAAAACTCCCACGTTCTGGTAAGATTTATCCAGAAAAGAAGAAATTACACACGAATGCTAACTTCAAAGAATATTGTCTAGTGGATACCTCAAGACCCTTTTCCTTCTTATGATACCTATCACCAAATCTGACCCGTATTATTCAAGCACGTCAGAAAATACCCTAACAAATGATCTTCAAAAATTGACACATGATTCATTAGTGCAAAAATCATCTGACCACCTGTTTTGTTAAATATTTAATTTTACTTTAGTTTTATGCAGAGTTGCAGACCTTCGTTCATCTTTAATCTCAATACAATATATAAGCAGGATAGACTTATAATATTTAGTGAAATAGATCTCCAGATCTGAAATAACAATGTTAAAATTTCTTTTGTAGAATAGTTTTTTTGTGTTAATTTTGTGGTTTTCATGTGGAATCTCACAAATTTATTACATCTGCCTAGAAATTGTTTTACAATAAAGTATACCTTTATCTACAATTTATATTATTGTGTTGTGTTTAAAAATAAATAAATAAGATGTCTTAAAAAAATGAAAAAAATGATCATCCCTATGATGACCAATCTTTTTTATTTTTTTTTTTTTGAGTCTAGCTACATATGAAAACTTAAATCAGAATTTTGTAGTGGCAAATAGCAATAGCGAACAATTAATAATAACAATTTATAATACTAATATTGTAAATAACAAGCAATTATTGATAATGATAAATTCCATAATAAATTTTTATTTGAATAATTAAACGAACAGATAATTCGAAAAAAATAATTATTTTTTCTAAAAATTTAAAAAATAATAATGATCAAGTTAATTTATTTTATTTAGATGATTTAATGTAATAAATTATACAACATCAGATCCAAACTCTACTCCAAACCAGTTTTTGAACTTGATCTGACTCGTAGAACTAAAACCGAACTGGTAAAGTCGTTCCCATCCCTATTACATGTGACAATTGTGACATACGTTGATAATTTAATTTTACTACCATTGTGATTTGTAAATTATAAAATTATAATAATTTTACTAATATAGAAATGCGCAGCTACTGATTTTATTTATTTTATTTATTAGGTTAACTTTGCTCTGAGCTAATACAAAAAAATATTTAAGTACATTCTGCCTATTGTACGTGGTTTATACCTGAATGTTACCTCTTATTCATCTACCCTATCCTTCAAACCAATAATGGCTTGTCTTGTGGTCTTGTGTGAATCAGTTCATCCCTTCCATTGTATTTTAATAAAATTCCAATCCATAGCAAATCTTTTTTTAAAAAAAAAATCTGTACATATTCCGGACATTTTCTGTATAGAAAAACGGCGATTAAAAAATTCTATACAAATTCCGGACATTTTCCGTATTAGAAAATTAATAATTTTTTTTTTAAAAAAAAATTCTGTACATATTCCGGACAATTAATAATTTTATGTACATATTCTGGGCATTTAAAAACTTGTGAACAGATGATGTGATTATTTTTTAGGACGAAAAATGGTCATTTTCTGGACACATTCAAATATACCAGGACATTTTCCGGACATTTTTGCAGATGCTTTCCGGACAATCCTTTTTTATAGGGCAGCCTACCGCTGGCCGCTTGGTCATGTGTTCGTTCATAACTCCGCATGACTTTTCATAACTCTGGCAAAACCTGACAGGAAAATGTCCCGTCGGGAAAGGAAATCGTGCCGTATCTGATCACTTTCTTTCAAACTTAGGATTTACAATAAAATCAGTGAATATTAAATTAAAAATAATAGAATTTTGACAAGAGTTCTTTTTGTTTCGTACAATGGTAAATCACTTCTGATCAGTAAGTAGATCGATCCATAATAAACCCATTTCGGATATTAAGAAATTTCAAAATAGGTTAGTATCACTCTTCACATAAAAAAATGTTGAATATAGGTTTTTTTTATTCTAGTTTTAGCATTACTTACTCATATCCATTCTATTTTTGTTTTTTTTTAAAAAATTTTTCGTAATATTCGTAAATCATATAAATAATGGATGCCTAATATGATATTCTTTTCCTTATACTCCCAAAAATTTCTTAAATTCTAGATTAAAAATGCGATAGTTATATTTGATATCTAATCTATAAATCATTAATTAAAATAATTAATGAGGCACTTTTTCATCATAAAAAAAAAGGTAAAAGGAATTGGAATTGAATAAGAAAATTATGCATGGAATTATGTGGAGTCGAATAATTTTCTAAAACTAAGTATTCGTTTCTTATTTATAATATTTCCCCTATGCCTTCGAGATCTTAATTGAGTATCTCATTGTTGGAACCAATAAAATTACGTTACCCAAAATTATAACCAACTTAAAATAACACATATAAATTAAAATACATAAAACACATTTACACAAGAATAGTTCACGGGCGTTACCCTTTATGAAGCCCAATTGTTGATATGATAGTTTAACGTCATTCCGGACTGCAGTAAATAAAAATACTTTAAAATTTTATACACTTAAGCTAAACATAATACTGCGCCTTATATTTTCACAACCGGCCCGATTTAACCCATAATTTCAGCTAAATACATAATTCTGGGTCATAATTTAAACAAATTCTCATGTCGATCATATATGATCACGTGACTATGGTTCGTTAATTGTCCGCAAACTGTACAAAAAGAACAATTAAAGAAGCGTTTAGGGCAAGTTAATAAAGAGATTATGTATCAAACTAAATCCGGCTCAAACCTAATCATTGTTGGAAACCGAATTTACAACCGGTTTGTGCAACCGGTTCAAACTCCAGTTCCTTCGCCGGAATGGCTTTGGCGAAATGATCTTCGGTAAAATGTCTATTTGGGAAAATGGCATTTCGGTAAAACATCCCTTCGGCAAAATTTGCTTCGGCAAAATGAGCTTCTGTGAATTGAACTTCAGCAAAAAGTTCGGATACTCCTAGCCAGTGACCCAAATGACCTCAAATGACTCAAATGACTGGTCACGTGTCATTTGGGTCATTTCAACATTAAATGACAAATGACCTAGTCATTTAAAAATTACATCATAATTGGCCAGAACTATTCATACAATTTCACTATTTCATGGATAAAATTTTCACATGATATTAGAAGTTCATAATTCTGGCCGGCATCATTAACTTGGCNTTGTAATGTATCGGTTATGTTATATTTTGCTAGTTAACAGATTATATTTTCATTTGTTGATATGGTATGAATTATATGATAGTTGAGTGTAAACTGTATTTTTGTTTAAATCGTGTTTAACTATTCACAAAGAAAAACTAATTTTGAAATCATTTAGTAATGAAATATGCATAATTGTGTGAATGTTTTTAATTGTAATCAAATAATTTGAAATTAAAATGCAATAAGGAATTATTAAGGTAATATTCATGTCGGTAAAATGATGTCAGTATCGTAAAACTAAAATCATTTAAATGGGTATAAAAAATTTTGATATCTTAAATATAGTAAAATTCATAAATAATTTATTTTTAATATTTTTGGTTATTAGGCTAACTTTATTCATGTGACAAGATTGACCGCCTCCTATTTCTTAAAAAAAAAAGACAATAATAAATAATAATAAATACAAAATAATGAATATATAAAGAAATAGAACAGAATAGAATTATTAAATTAGATTTAATAATTATTTGATTATTATTATTTAACTAATATATTACTATAATAAATATATTTTTTTAAAATGAACCCTTGATTGGGATGTGCGAATTTTTTTGTCAATTATATAGATTGATTTAAACGAACAAAACGAATCAAGTCAAGTAATAGCTCTTGGCAGAAAATCATTGAAAATCTAGGTTTTGAAATTATATATAACCACTGTCACCAAAATTTTGTTTTACAGAATCGAGCAGATATTGAAACTTTAAACTCCCAAATTGACAACTACCCAAACTACTACTCCCTCAGGTCTATCGAACAACATTAACTAATATGAAACTTCAAAGCTTTTACCTTCTTACTGTCCTTTTCATGTGTTTTTATATAATGGACGTTAAAGGTAAAGTCCTTACATTCAATATGTTCTCCATTTTCTTTTCTAATGATTCAACTTTTTGGTTTAATGTATAGCATTTATGGTCGCCACGGATTTGGAAATGACTCTCTGCAGATGTAGAATTTGGATAGAGGATTCAAATGGTCATCGCATAGCCGGTGACAAAAAATACCATGATTGTACTAATTATTTTTACACTGGCCACGAATTTATTTATTTTCCAAACCAAACGTACACGGTTTATGCTAAAGTTGCAGGTAGTTTTAAGAAAAAGAAAGCACGAGGACCTTTTAATGAAAATACCTGTTTTAGTATACATGGCACTGTTAATAAGTGGGGATTTGATCAAAAATCTTGTTAATCGTTTATTTGGATATTATCTCAGTATGTTGAAGATGTGAACCAATTAAAATCTGTTTCTCTAGTTGCATAATTAATTATTTTCTAGAAATATGACATCATTAATAATTAATACAAAAATTTCAAAACTATAATCAAATTACTCATTATAATAACATTCATAATTTTTATTATTATTTGCGAAAAACATAACTATATTTACCAATTTGGTAATACTTTTTATAATAAAATTATTATTTAACTATTAAGCATTTTTCTGAACTATTCTGTTATAATATATTTGAACTGGGATCCTCCCGAAATCCCGACAACCATAATCCCGATGTGATAAAATCTTGACACTCTTATTCCCGACTAAGACAATATCCCGAATGATTAAAATACTGAAAGAATTATATCCCGAATAGTCCAAAATCTGGAATTCAAAATTCCCGAAAGTTCAAATTACTGATGAGTCAAAATCCCGACACAATAAAGAAAAGAATTTTTTTCATGTGACCATTTATGTAATAATATCGTAGTGATTGCACAATTGTTAATAATTTGCATAATTTGCCAAGGAGTTATTATGTCAATTACTACTGCGTGATCTCACTATATATTATACTGTAACATGTAAGTCATAAATCAAAATTGCAATTTTTTATCATTTAAATTGGAAATAGTGTCGCAAATTATATAGCCAGTAGGAAATGATCTTCCTAGTAAACAAAAATCAAAGAGATACTCAAAATTATAATATTGTGTCAGGATTTTGACTCATCAGTAACTTGAACTTTCAGGAAATTTAAATTCTGGATTTTAGACCATTCGGGATATGATACTTTCGGGATTTTGATCGTTCAGTATATTGTCTCTGTCAGGAATACGTGCCTTGGGATTTTATCATATCAGGATTGTGCTTGTTGGGATTTCGTGGTAAACCCATTTGAACTAAGTCAACCAACCCGTTACTGGTTTTACTCATTTCAATTATGTTATTGAATAATACATTTACGATTCCATGATCCACGCACATTCTTATAAATTTCTACCCTATAAGAAATATTTATACGGAAAGGATGCATTTTGTATACATTTTATGTACATTTCTATAGATTCCGTATACAAATTCCGTATATTTAATAAGCAATTCATTTTTGAACATTTTTTAAAAAAACTAATGTATACGGAAAAAATTAATCATATGGAATGTATACGGAATTTTTAAACTTAATATTTTTAGAAAATAATTTTACAAAAATCTCGTATCATAACACGAGATCACGTGATTGTTTATTGTTTTGTTATGATACGTTTTTTGTTTTT